TAATAATATTATTATATGTATGTTGAGTTAGTTGTGTATCATGTTGATTAGTTGAGTTAGTATTGCATTATATTGAGTTAGTATTATATTGTGTTAATACTGTATTATATTGAATTAGTAGTATATTGTTAATAGTGTATTATGTTGAGTTAGTAGTCTATTATATTGCAGTAGTAATGTATTATATTGTTAGTTGTGTCTTATGTTGAGTTGGTATCAACAGTGCATTGTGTTCAGTTAGTTGTATATTATGCTGAATTAGCAGTGTATTGTGTTAAGTTAGCAGTGTATCTTTCTGAGTTAGCAGTGTCTTGTGTTGAGTATATATATAATGTATCATGTTGAGTTAGTAGTTTATTATGTTGCATTAGTACTAGATTGTGTTGAGTTTGTAGCATATTATGTTGCATTAATAGTTTATTGTGTTAGTTTGGTAGTTTATTTTGTTGAATTAGTATGCTATGTTGAATTAGTGTATTATGTTGAGTTAATAGTGTATTATGTTGAATTAGTAGTGTATTGTGTTTATGTTATATTACTAGTGTATTGTGTTGTATTACTAGTATAATGTTGCTCTTGTAGCTTATCATGTTGGGTTAGTAGTATATCACGTTGAACTAGCAGTGTATTATGTTGAGTAGTAGTGTATTGAGACATCTTGAGTTGTTAGCAGTATATTATGCTCACTGAGTAGTTTATTATGTTGAGTTAGTGCAAATATTCAAAACCATATAGACTGTGATGACTGCAGTGCAGAAAACATGAACCTTAATAATTGTTGTAAAGTGAATGCATTCATGACATTGCCTTTTAAAATTAAGCCTTTTCCATTCAGTTCATTGCTTTCTCTTGATACTTTGAGATCAGAAGTAAATTATAAACATGGACATTATTACCTCTTTAATAGGAAGAGAGCTCCCTACAACATCATAGGAAATCTGGCTTATTGATCTGGTCAGCCATTCTCCAGTCCCTGCCTCTCATGTTCACCATCTATAGTTCAATCAACCCTGACACATCATCTCTTAAATTATAAATAATCTTATATTGAAATAGTATTACCAATCTGTTTCCTCCCAGAATTTTTCAAGCACAAAGACACGTATGCACATATACCACCGAATGTTGGAGACCTGCCCCACCCCCTCCTTCCACCCCCACTCTTCTACTCAGACTTTGCCCAGTACAGCACAGAACTGTATCTGAACAAAATACTCCTCTTGCTTTTACTAAACCAAGGTCGAATGTGGGGACTATAAATTCCTTCCATTGAAAAGTACATTGTGGTTATGTTCTGGACCTCCAGAGACCCTTAGAGTCAGATTCCACTATGGAGCTACTTTTGAGGAGTCTTGTTTTAATTCTGTGCATATCATACATACTTTCCATTATTCCAAAAATTTAAGCAAGTTGATCAGTGCCTGTTTGCTCGCTTTAGCCAAACTGAATTTATACTAATAAAAAATATTTCTTCTTATCAAAAAGTAGATATAGTCTGCTTTGATGTGGTTATTATGCAAGCATCAAAACATCTCACCCTGCCGCACTGATATGTACTATTACTGAGTTCATTAAAAATAGATATTCATAAATGCAAAGTGTATATATGATTTGGATCTCTGTCCATAGATGTTGCTATGTTTTTCAGATTTTTCATTTATTTTTGTTTTATGTGTATGAGTGTTTTGACTATGTGTATGTAAGTGTACCCATGCTTGCAATACCCACAGAGGCCAGAAGAGGGCATCAGATCTCCCGGAACTAGGTTTAAGGAGGCTTGTAAGCTGCCACGTGGATTCTGGGAACCAAATCCAGGTCCTCTGCAAGAGCAGCAAGTGCTCTTAACTGCTGAGCCATCTCTTCAGCTCCTGTTCTGTTTTTTATTGACCTCATATACAACTTTATTTTACATGTATTTATGTGTGGGGGTAGGGGGTGGGGGTCAGAGGAGAATTTTGGGGAATCAGTTGTCTCCTTACACAGTGTGAATCCTGGGTGGTCAAACTCAAGTCTGAAGTTGTCGGGCTTGGTGGTGAGTATCCTTACCTGCTGAGCTGGCTCAGCGGCTTCTTGACTATATATTTCGGCACCTCCGAGGATCCTTAGTGTCATAGGAGCCTTTCTGAGGTCCACAGAGAAAGGTAAAAGTCACTCCCATCCTTGCATAGCTTTTGGTCTCAGATTTTTCATCATTGCCAGACAGAATGAAGTGGACACTGGGACAGGATTGGGGTTGGGTTGAAAGACCGGAGCCAAGAAGTGTTTGGAAAGGGAAGAAAGTGAAGGTTATCCTTGACCAAGAGTTCTGAGGAAGAGGAAATGGAAGCAAAAAAACAAAATACAAACTTTGTCCCCGTGAGATGCGTTGATCTGCACTGTTAGTATTCCTGAAGAGGGGCAGGCACACAGGCATTACTGAGAAAGTTTTTTAAAATTTGAGACTGGGCCTCACACACATGGCCTGGGCTGACCTTGAACTTGCTATGTAGCGGAGGAGGAGGACCTTGAACTTCAGACTCCTCTATTTCCGGTGCTGGGATTCCAGATATGTACCATCATGACTGGTTTTATGTGGTGCTGGGTGGGGATGGAACCCAGGGCTCTGTGCCTCTAGTGATAGAGCTATGCCCCCAGCCCGTGTAACAGAAGTTTCAGTCAGGGGGCACGTCTACTTTTACTTCATGTACAGTTTCCTAACATTATGACTTTGTAGCCTTGTATTAGGAAGTTGAGGTGCCTCCTGGCGAGGAGGCTTGTTTTGAGGACCAGCAAAGAAAAAAGCCACCGTGCTTCTGTTGCTTTCTTCCGATTCCTACTTTGATCTGTAAGCTGACACCCTCTTCAGGGCAAGGTTGTATGCAGTGCTGTGCCTTCCTCACAGTCAGCAACCAGCCAGTGTTTGCATCAAGTGTATGTACACGAAGTATGCTCCCTCATGTGCAGCCCCGGTGAGCACCATGTAGTCCATTGCACAGTTCAGCCCAGGGCATCTTCCCTTCACTGCCAGTCCAGGAACCAGCGTACCAAAAAGCTGTCCTCTCTACTGATGAGGTTGCGTCGATAGTATGATACTGTACCCCCAAGAACTTCAAATGCCATCTGAAGAAGACAGCTAAGTTCCTTGGTAATTTATGTGAGAGCGTGGATTATCTTCCTTTCCACCGTGGCCAGGTAGCTCTGTGAAAGGTAATGTCACTGTCTCCACTCCACATGGAGGCACAGAACCTGCCAGAGCGACTACATTCCACACATGTGCTGTAGATGAAATACTACTTCTTACCATCCTGAGTGTGTCAGAAGAGATCTGAGTCCTGCCCCTTGAGAAAACATGGACCTTTTTTTTTCACAAATATTCCTCTGAAACTTCGGGGCATCTTGATGGTCAGGTGTGAAAAGCCCTACAGGTAGGGAATCAGAGCCAAAGGCCTGCTGTTCACTGCAGAGTACCTCAGACCAGTGTGGTATCTGGACAGACTCCTGACTGAGTACCCCAGCCTGAATTGCAACAGTTTCATGGAGGTGTGTGCGGTTAGTCTGCTACCTCATAAGAAATCAGTTCCAATTCTTAGCAGTCTGTCCATAGCAAGGTGTGAAACTTGCTAATTCCTGGGAGAGACTGCAGATGGAGGCTAGCTGTGAGTAATTTTTTATGGTCATCTGAACATCTTTGTGAAAGGGACTTTCTTGAAAACTGAGCTTCTTCTGAGAAGGTAGCTGATTTGAGTTCTCCTCTTTGCCTCTGATTTGGTGAAAATGCTAATTTTTAGTCAGTGGAATTAAAACGGGGCAGCAAAGAGCAAGGCTGATCCATACGCATGCCTGGCTTGTGGGTGACTAAGGGGCAACCAGTCAGCATTAGCGGGCCCTTGGGAATCGTTGTGTGGATGAAACAAAACAAGATAAGGGATGTGAAAGGCAGTTCTGAAAACTAGTCATCACTGGGCACATGCAGGTTATTAAAGAGCAGCACCTTTCTGACATTTTTGGCATAACTGATCTCTGTTCTTCCTGGTACCCATGTTGTATCCTCAGGAATTTTAAAAAACAGACTTGCTTAATTTGTTGCAGTTAATTTTGCTCTCTTTGACTTTGCAGCATAGATACCCACCCCCCATCCGTGGATGTAGGCCACAGATGCTGCCTTTAAGAGCATGATGATTGGTCTGTTTTGAGTGTTAGTCCTACCCCCCCATCCTCCTCCTCTTCCTTCCCCTCCTCTTTTTCCTCTTCCTCCCCTTCTTCCTCCTGTTCCTCCCCCTCCTCCTCCCTTCCTCTTCATTTATCCTCTCCACTTCTTGTCCTTTGAATGCTGCCTCTTACACTCAGGCACCCAGTAGTAAGCTGGCTTTCTTCATTGTCTGGTCATATGCTTTTTCCTTTATAAATACTCAAAAAGTGTTATGAGGAAACTAACTGAAATAAGGAAAGGAGGGAAGGAAAGAAGGGAGGGAGGGCGGAAAGGAGGGGAACCATGATTCCCTCTTCTTCAGTGTCACATATATATATGTACATTTTTTTCTGAGTTAATCTAAAGATGAAGCTTTCTGTATTCAGACAGAATCATAAAGCTTCAACTCTGCTTAAAGTTTGCTGTTTCTTCTGATGTTACTGTGTGGAATAGGAAACTGCAAGGAAGAGGGAACTGGAGAGGGAATAGTGGTTTGTTTGAAGCACTCAAAAATATCTTTACTCTTTGGCTTTATCTAATTTCATGTCTTTTAAATTTTATGTTGAAAGAGACAGTGGACATTAAAATAATTCTCCCCATGGAATCCTGTGAAAGTGATACTGAATTCCTCAGTGCCATCGTAGGATGTAGGCTGCAGATGCTTCCTTTAAGAGCCGTGATGATTGGTCTGGTTTTAGTGTCTGTCTGTCAGCACTTATCTGTGTTGATCTGAGGGAATTCAGATTCGCTGAAATGATGAATACATCTCCTTCCACTCTCTCAGGAAATGGCGAGGATCCTTAGCCACCCCCGAGTCTACGCTTTTCTCCACATCCCCGTTCAGTCAGCCTCCGACAGCGTGCTCATGGACATGAAGAGAGAGTACTGTGTGGCCGACTTCAGGAGAGTTGTGGATTTTCTCAGAGAGAGGTAAGTCTGACACTTAGGAAAGTAACCTTTTCTTTTTTTTCCTTCCTGAAGTGGGTGGCAGCGTTGCACTTACTGCAGCCTCACAGTCAGGGGACAGGACAGAGGGCGATGCTATGGAAGCCCTCAAAGCCTTCCAGTTTCCTTGGGGCCCTTGATGTGGTTTCTTCTTCCCCTTCCATCTGTGTGGGAGCACCATTCATGTGGGGAAGCTTGCCCACTTTCCCCGGTAAGTTGAATGGTGATTATTTTCATACCTGATGGACTAGACAGACCGCCCCAGCCTTGGTCTCCCTTCTTTCTTTCTTCATGAGGCCTTTGGAAGTTGCGAACTGACTTTGACAGGAAGAGACCAAGTCATGTCGCTACAAAGCGGATCATTTTCTCCTCAGTGACATTTTTCACGGTGTTTGGAATGTCTTTGCTTTTACATGCTAATCCCCATAGTTTGCCTGAACACTTGCAATTTACAAGCAGGCTTGAGGATTCTGTTTTTTTACAGCTCAAATTACTGTTGACCAAAATTAAGGCATATTTACACAATCTCAGGCATGAATGATAATTTTGTTTCCACAGAAAACACTTGCAGCCCATAATTATCTTCTTCAAAATCTCCCTTCTAAACATGGAATGCCTTTTGTGATTAGACATGGCAGGAGATCGAGGTGCTGGCCAAGGTCACCCGGACCCTCCTCAGGTCCAGGGCATGTTGTCCCCTCTGGGAAGATGTCCTTTACCCCAGGGTATTTGTGGCTTGCCTCTTCCTGTAGCTCATCTCTTTTTTACGTCCGTTGTTGTTAGTTCCATCTTATTATTTGTAATTATGTACTCTTGCACCATGTCGGCGCTTTATATGGGTATGGTTGCTTTAGACAAATTGTAATCAATTATTTTTTCCACCTTTAATTACTCACTTATTCTGATGACATACAATTGTTTTCAAATCTTCTTCTCTGCTTCCTCTTTTCTTCTCATCTTTCTTTAGCATGTCTTTTTAATCTTTCCTAACCTCTAGGCATGTCTTGATTATCCTCATTATGAACAAAGACATTTAGGGTACATTCAAACAAATACAGCTAATTGTTCAAATATTCAAATCAGTGGATAGGAAGTATATTTATTCCAGGCTTTCATAATTATAGTGTTAAGTATATGAAGGCTTCAATGTAGCAAACGGAATCGGAGCAAATCTCTGGTTTCTGGTACCCTTGGATCTTGCATAAAACTGACCAGGGCTAATGAGTGTTGTGTTTTATGTTAAGCATGGCCTTTGTCTTTCCTTGCTTTTGGAGGTAGACTTGCCTCCTGTGATAAAGTCCTTCATAGCATGCTGGCACTGGAGACTGGAATGCTTTCCCAATGGCAAAGAACTCTTACATCCTTGAAATTTCTTATCTTTCACTTATTAAAGCAGTGCAAAGATTGTGCCCACTTCATACATCTTGCACGATGCTTTGCCAGTATAGACAGGCATCCCCTTGTGCAGGATAGGCCAGAACCCTTTCCAAGTACTTTGTTGGGTTACTGTGATGAGATGTTGCTAAAGACTCAACACCTCTGCTTTTCCTCTGTTGAGGGAAGCGCTGACTCAGTTGTTTGGGGAACTGCTGTGGCTACTAAACTGGGCAACAGTTTTCAACAAGTTCCAGCCTTTCATACTGCTCTGAAGACGGACCTGTTAAATCTGTTGTGTCTTGAACAGTTTCAGCAGCCTCCATGAGTGATTTAGAGGTCAAGTGCTGACCACATTACAATGTTAGAAAATAATCTCTTGCCGTTATTAGTAGGGTCTTTTCCTTGTCTTCCCAGTTACCCAAGGCATCTGTGTGGCTTTTCAAGGTGTATTTGACTACCTAGAACTCTTAGAACCAAGTGTTCTGCCCTTGGACCTCCAGTATTTCCAGCACCACAAACCCCAGAGATCCATGGAGAATCTCAATAGCAAAGAAGCCTGGAGAATGTCTATAATTTCAGTGTGGAGTGGGTGACTCTGGCCAGTTAGAATCTCCAGTGGATTTTAAAATTGACTAAGCATTGTGTTCCTGCAGCAAGGACAGAAGCAGTACTGAGTGTTGAAACTCACGGTTAGGTAGTCACCGTGATGCTTTGGGGAGCTGTGGTGAGTGCCATTATGGCAGCTGAACAAACTTCAGTTCCCTGTAGTCCAGTCACCACTGTGTCAAAGCAGCCCCTGCACAGTTTCAGATGGTTTATCAGTACTGTAGGACATGAAGGCCACCGTGCTGCTGGTGGGAACTGCTCCAGCTCTTCTCCCTTGAAGGCAACACAAACCAGTTCTGCTCTGCTCTGTGGTTGAAAACAGGCTCATCCTCTTGAGGAAACTCCTCCATCCAGTGAATGATTGATTCTCAGTTACTATGGACATTTGGAAATACAGGGACTCTTTAAGCAGATTGCTGTTCTTCACTGCAAAGTTCTTAAACCCATTAAAAACTAGTACAGCTTGGGGCCTGGAAAGATGGCTCAGTGGTTAAGAGCACTGACTGCTCTTGCAGAGGACCCGGGTTTGATTCCCAGCACCCACATGGTGGCTATGAGCCGTCTTTAACTCCAGTTCCAGGGGAATCCGAAGCCCTCTTCTGACCTCTGAGACATTGCACAACATGGGTGCACTCACATACATTCAGGCAATACACTCGTACACATAAAATAAAGTAATAATAATAATAATAATAATAAAAACTAGTGCATCTTTATGCAAAACAGATTAGTGCATGTTTAGAAACAAAGTTCCAGGGCTTGCAATAGGATCACTAATACAGTGCTGTCCAGCACCTAGTACTGCTCAGTGCAGAGTTTTCTTTCTTAGAGATCTTCACACTCACGTTATTCCAATCTGTATCCGGCACTTGTTCACTAAGTGATCCAGATATAAACTGTTCTAGTTGTTGTCTTTTTTCCCCTTATATTTTATTGATTCCCTTTGTTATTTGGCAGTTCTCTACATGTATATGTTATAAATGTGTCCCATCTCGCATGGATCTCCTTTCCCCTGAAGTCTTCGAAGCCTTTTGGAATGACTAACAAATACTATTCTCTCGATTTTTCTGACCCTCCGACCCTGTGAGGCCCTCAGATCTTCCAATGATAAACAAAGGATAAGACATTTCCCAGTCTATTTCCTCAGAAAGTCAGCCTGAATGCTTAGAGCCTGAGCATTTAAGGCCGAAGTCCACGTGATTTGGGGAGTTTACCTGAAGCTGCCAACTGCAAACTCCAGTCTTTGTGAACCTGCTTCTCCAACAGTGGAGGTGAGCTCTCTGTAATAAGTTTCTCTTAGGATTGAAAATGGCCCGTGTTTTAGCCGGGAGTCTAAGTCTCCTGTGAGCTGACTGGAAGCTGATTCCTCCTTCTCTTCAGTTGTTTGAAAGTTGGCAGCTATTATCCTAACAGCAGCTGGATTGACGATAACCCAGTAGAGTTGGCACATGCTGAGGCATATGGGACTTTATTAAATCATGTAACCTTTGCAAAAAAAGTGTCTAAATTACTTAATATGCTCATTTCAAACAGCTGGTCATGAGCAGACAGTTGTATGACTTAAATCTACTCAAATTTGTTAATCCAGATGATGCTTTTATGTAAGTGAATAGGTTAGTTTCTGGAAGTGCTCGTGGGGTGTGGACATTGAAGAGAGCTGTTGAATAGAGAAAAAAGGGCAGTTCTGGTTTTAGAAAAAATATTTTTATATTTTTAATAGGTACAGCATAAAGTTTACTGCTTCAATATATTTCTGAATTTTTTAAATCTGTAAAATTTTAATCATTCTCTCTTTTCTGTGAAGTTTGAGGGTATTATTTTTCCAATTCGAAGAAGTTTTTTACTTTTTTATATTAGGCACAGTTATTAGGATTATTAGAGTAATTAGGATTTCCACACTTTGGCACCTGGTACATGGACTTCAGTTGGGTTTAACTTCGTTTGAACAGTAATAAATTCATGTAGTCATTCTCCAACATGTCAAAAAGTGGTAACAAGCATATGCTTGTAAAAGAATCTCAGTCCTCAGATTCATACATTAAAGTGTGAAAGAAATATGTAAGACTGTCCTGTTGCTGTATTTTAATAAATGAAACAAATTATATATTAACAGACATATCTGTCATTCTGTTGACATTCCAGTAGGCTTTGGGCTTATGTCCTTTGGACCGTCAATGTTTAACAACCCCGTCCTTCTCACTCAGTAAATCCATTGTGAATGAGTTCATGGACAGATCTTACCATAGCATCTTTGTGCTGGTGTTTAATCATGTATTATCTGTCTTACAGTCAAGCCAAGTGCAGGGACATGGGCCTTTTGTCCCAGCTGCATAGGAGGCTGAGGCAAGAGGATCATTTGGGCCTACCAGTTCCAGTGCAGCCTGATGCATGTCAGAGGTCATTTCTCAAAATAAAACTACAAAGAATTTGCTATTATCACTTGTGAGTGTACCACCTCAGGTGACTCCACATTGCTTGTTGTGTGCAAGGCACAAGGCATGGAGCTGGTTCACTCCATCCTCAGGGCATTCTACTACATTCATTTTGTATAGGGCACAAGGGCCCAGAGCTGAAGTTGCTCTGTCAGGATGATTTCTGTGAGTCCAAGTTAACTCATGATGTCCTCTTTGTCCTATGACCCATTTTTCCAGCCCCTCTGCAAAAGCATCATGCTAATTCATTTACATCCTGGATTATTTCTCTTTCCCATCATTAGTCTAGGTTACCCATGTATATGTTACTGACACACACGTGATGAAAGGTGAGGCATGTTAGATTTGTTTTCCCATCCCATTGTCCGTGTAGCCTTATTCCTAGTGGCTTAGAAATGTGAGTAGTTGCTGGGTGTGGCAGCTCATACCTATAATCCTGACACTTGGAATGCTGAGGCAGGAGAATCACCATAGGTTCAAACCTATGGAATAAAACTCGGTCTCAAAACAACAACGAAAACAAACAAACCCAAGAAAGATAAAAGCAGCAATATTTGTCAGAGTAAAAGA